ATCAACATCATCGCCGTCTGCATCATCATCGTGATTACCATCACCAAATAGTATCATCAGCATCGTCATCATCAACATCATTATCATCACCCCCATCAACATCATCATCCACATCATCACAGGACATCGGACACACGCACACACTCAAACTAAACGCACACCCTAAGCGGCCCACATCCTGCGTGGAACTTGTTGTTTTCTCTGAACACAGACACGCCCGCGCAGGAACAGTCCTCCGAACCCCCCCGTTGGTCCTTTTCTTTTGGTCGCACGTATCACCATTACCATCATCATCGCTATCATTGTCGCCACTGTTCTAGCATCACCAGTCTCAGGGGATGTAGTGGTGATACTGATGATGCCACCATCGTCACTGCCACCGTACCATCATGAGCATCCAGCATCATCATCAGCATCATCACGGCACGTACTCGCACACACACACATTCACGCATTCATTTTGAGGAAGACTCGTGCGGGTGTCGCGTCTGCGAGTGAATCGCGAGGCAGTCTCTAGCGGGAGCCCCTTCCGTATGGGCCCCTGCTTCACGTTACCAGTCCGAAGCGGCCATCGGGACACCCAGTAAAGCATAGGTTGGAGCCCCTTCCATATGTGGCCCCGACTTCATGCTACCAATCCGGGAAGATCATCAGGATACCTTGTGAAAACACAGGTTCGAGCGCTTGCTTCATGGTGCCGAGAAAGAGAACGAGGAGGAGGACGCATGAGGATGACGCAGGAGGACAAGGAGAAGAGAGCTGGAAGAGGAGTAGGAGGGAGGAGGAGGAGGAAGAGCGAATGCTCCAGGAGTCGCCTGGCTCATTGGTTCGGGCAGCATTCGTGGGACTCTCACGCCTGAGCCAGGAATCAGGAGGCGGAGGTTGGGCGACATTCCCCGGCAAACTACAGAGATCTCACACGGGTTCCTACCGTAGTAGTAGTAGTTTTACGAGCGACGCCAAGCATCATTTGAGTCCATGATATGTGCGACGGTTGTATGTCGACATGTTGAAAAGCCAGTGGTGTTGGACTGTGACGTCGCGATCTGCGTGAAGGGTGCATCCGCTATCCAGAATATTGAGGGTGTCCCTAGCGAAAAGGCACGAAACAAGGGGGACGGCTTCGAAACAATCGCCTCTGACCTCTTCTCCCTCGGAGAAATGCGCATGAGAATTCATCGCCTCTGAGCTTTACTCCCTCGGAGATGTGCGTCTTAGATTAATTGGCAAGGGAGATCGACTCCCCCCCAATCCGGGCTTGTCGATACCCTTGGGAATACATAGTACATACGTTACTGTGTCATCGATCTTGTTCCATGTTCGATTATACCATCCCTGGCCAGCCTTTACTGACGCCCCCATCCTTGTCAAATAGTGCCATGTGCGCGCTCTTGTCTGTTTCAAATGATGTTGTTCAATCGTTGCTGGACGAAGATGTCACACAATCCACACGTGTGCATTTGTCAAAATCATGCTCAAAACATTCAGGTCGCAAGCGCTTCAGCATAAGATCATCAAACACCAACGTCTTTGACACCACAGATCTTGCAGATTACCTTCCCGCGCGCACTTGCTGGAATCGTATGGGAGCCAGCTGATGCCCGCAGCCTCGTCCAGAAACCGCATTCGCACATCACCATACAGTGCATCTGCGTTGAACCAGCTTGCGTCCAGTGCAAGCACCCGTGCCGCATGATCCCATGTGGGCCACGCGCGCGCAGCCACTCGCGCGTGCCAGTATCTGTACACAATCATTGTTTGCTGAAGCGTTTCATGGTGTAGAGCCTCTCAACCGCATATGGACTGACCATGTTGTCTAACAACGTGCCAGCCAGTTTCATTGAATTCCTGCGCGCACGTACTTCCTGACCAGCACCCCCATCGGCGCCATTGAATGATCACTGTTGTCGTCATCGCCAACCGCCGCCATTGCTGCCATCATCAGTCAATAACCTTTGTCGCCGACACATGGATTTCATTATCGCCATCGTCGTCACCGACATCGGCACCGTCATCGGCCTTGCTGTCTTCATTATCGTTTCATCGCAACCACCATCGCTAGTCTCATCATTGTTGCCGCCGTTACCGACGTCATCATGGTTTCGCACCTGTCCGGGCCACTGACCCGCAATGGGCCACTGGCCCATGTCCGCGCGCCAGCGCGGCCATGGAGACGCGCTAGGAAGTTCCCATCGGTAAGCGCCATCGCGGCCGTATCTGCTGTGCCAAACCAGCTGGCCGCTCTACGCGCAATTGAACGTGGACCAGCGTGGCCGCAGACATGCGCCAGTTCGTGCCAAACAGCCACCGTAATCGCGGCCGCACGGGTTCTGCAATTCAAGTTGCGGGTTGGAGGGTGGGGTGTTTGTCGGTGTAGTTGGGTGGGCAAGTCATTGCTCTCTTGGTTGACCACCTATCTTATACCGCATATCTTACACCTCGAAGTTTACCCCACACATTGCACCACCTTGCTTGCAATATTCTATGTGCTCCCGAAGGTTGTAGTACGCACCATGCAGCATGCGCCGCATAGACTGTACATATAAAGTCCCAGAAGTAGCGAGCGAGTTGTTGTCCACCCTGGCAAGCGTTCAGATTTGCCACATTCCTGTAGACTTCCGTTCTGGTGTGCGCTCTGAGCTTGAGAGAACGCCCACGTCATAGAGCGGGGGTGGCGGGTGGCGGGTGACATTTTGGACCCCCTCCCGCCTTCTAGCAAGCTCCCTTGTGAGAGTCACCACCCACCAAACCACCCCAACCCAACCCGAAGGCCTATTCTTCCCCCCCCTCGATTCCCAGTGGGGGGGCGGGTCGGGGAACATCCGAACAAAAACACATGTGGAACCCGTACCCCCCCCCGACCCGAAACTTGGCTCTTCGGGTTTGGTTGGGGTGGCCTGGTATGACGAACGAGCAACACACACCCATACCCATAGGGGGGTCGTTGAGAGGAGGGCTGGCTATGGGTATGGGTGCGGGTTGTCGGACCCTGGGGAACGTTCCCGTTCGAGCGGGGACCCCCATCCGACAACACGCACCCATAGCCCTCTCCGACCGCCCTATGGGTATGGGTGTGTGTTGTTGATTTGTCATGGGAGGTCGTCAGAGAGCCCCCCTCAAGAGGCCCCAGGCCATCCCCGGGGGCGCGTGGCCGAGCGCGCTCGGCGCGCCGCGGCCCCGGCCACGGCAGCGGCTCTTCGGGGGGGGGGGGGGGGGGGGCGGGGGAGGGCGCGAGCGCGCCGCGGAGGCGCCCGCGCGTCACGCATATGGCGCATTCGCGGGGCGCGCAGCGCGGAGGTCGGTGCCCAGAGACACCCTCGATCGTCTGCGGGCAGGCCCCGGACCTCTCAGGATGTGTACATGTGTGCCCCCCCCCCCCTTCATTGGGCACCAACGTGGGCAGGCCTGGGAGCCCTGGCGTTGCACTCAGGGCCGACTGGTGGCACGACGATCTGCGGCCGTCCGCGCCCCCCCCCCTGTCCGTTTCCTGTCCTCCTCTCTCCAGCAGACTTGCGTTGACCAGCAAGACAGCAACCATGCCCTTCCTTCCACTGCCCCGCTCTCTCTCTCTCTCTCTCTGGGGCGCTGCCGAGGGGCTCCCGCCCACGCGTCGATCGATCGGGACGCCCAGCCCAGTTTGGCTGCGTGCGGGCTCCATGCAAGCTTCGACTCCCCCCCCCCCCAGATTCTGGAGGCCTCCAAATGGCGCGGTGCCCATTCCGTGTGGTGAGTCAGTGGGGCGTTGGAGTGACCGCGCGGAGTTTCTGGACTTGGGCTTTGGGCTGGTCTCCGAGCAGCTCTCGGGCGAGTAGCAGTGCGGTGACGGGCCGTGCGGTGAGATTTTTGGGGGGCTCCGAGGCTTCACCGCCGAGTCTGTCTTTTTGCATCGTCTTGGGGCCCACAACAGTTCGTGGAGAGGCAGGGAAGGTCCACGGATCGGGATGACCGACATGGGTACGGAAAGAATGGGTACAATGCCCAACAGCAGTTCCTGATCATTTTCAACAGGACTCGCTGTCGGCGCTGCCGCGACCTGTGTCCATTTGAGACAGAAGGCCGCCTGCCCAACAGCGGCCGCTGTTGGTTTGGGACAACATTTGTTGTTGGGCATTCTACCCATTCTTTCCGTGCCCATTTCGGGCGTCCAAAACGGAGGGAGGTAGAAGGGGGAGGCCCTCAGACGACCCAGGCGTGACAGTTGTGCATGAGAGACGGGTTACGCGATCTGAGGCTGGGATTGTTTGCCCGATTCGTGCCAGGACAGGGTCGACCCCCCGCCCCTTGCCTTCGAGCGGAGGAGGAGGTAAACAAGATGAAGAGGAGGCAGGGGTGAGGGTGGAGCAGGCGGAGCAGGAGGAGTCGGACGAGGAGGAGTAAGAATTATTTTCTCGGGGGGAGGATGAGGGAAGGGGGAGAGTGAGGAGGGAGGATGGGGGACTGGAAGGAGGATGATGCGGAGGAGGAGGAGGAGGAGGTGGAAAAGGAAGAGATTACAATCGGGGACGGGTGTTTAAGAGAGGAGTTGGGGCGTTTGACGGGCTCTATGGGCCTGGTGATCCTTGGAGCTTGAGGGGGGTGTTCGGAGTCAGGACGGGACTGGAGGATTCGGCTACACGTAAGAGTGACATTTTGCCGCAGTGACCTCTGGTGCGGGCACAGTGGGGTCCCCAGTTGAGTGAACGCGATGCGATATCAACGATTTGCGCACTCGGGTTTGACCTCCCCACGGCTCCCGAAAAACGCGCGCTAAGGTCACTCTTGCTAGGGGTTCTTCTTGCGTGTAGCCTAAGGATGAGGAAGAGGCAGGAGAGTGAGCAGGGGGGATAAGGAGGAGGAGGAGGAGGAGGAGGAGGAGGAGGAGGAGGAGGAGGAGGAGGAGGAGGGAGAACGACACATGCACCAGAAATGGACGTCCGAGCAATGGCAGGGCCTGCGTGCCTGCTGGCTTGCCTGCTTCTGGCCCTCCTCTGTCGGCGATGTCCGCTCTCCGCCCGTCCGAGGTGGAGGCGGCGGTGGTGGCGGCTCGTGGGGAGCCAGCAAGAAGCGCCCGGCTTAGTTGGTTACGGGCTCCCTCCCCCAGTGGCTCTTGGAAACGACAGGGCCGTTGTTTCTCCGCTGTCGTTTCGCCGGGTTGTTTTCTTGTTCTGGCGCCGTTCGTCTTCTGGTTCTGGCTCTGACTCCAATCCCGAAGCCGTTCTTTCAGTTCGGGCGAGTTGCTCTTGTCACTCACATTTCGCCATCTCAAGATCCAGGCCTCTGGCATCGGGGGGAAAAAACACGACCTTGCCGTTTCCAAGAGCCCCTGAGCTCCTCCCCCCCCCTCCCCCTCCCCACTTTGGGGCGTCGCCACGACATGCTATGTCATGCTACGCGTTGATATTGAACGCCATGCTTTGCCATGTCATGCTATGCCATGCTACGACATCCGACTGTGCGAATAGAGAGGAGATCTACGCCATGAGAAGGGATGGGAGGCAGGGGTAGGACGCCAGATATGATGCGAGCGCACCTAGCTTGTCCCCCCCCCCTCCCCTCCCCTCAGCTCGCGCCCCCTCACCCCCTCTCCTGCGCAGAGCTCTGTTCATGTCCAGTCCCAGTATACACACGTGGCGACACCCCGCTGGCGGCCCCGAAGGAGGTTCGTGGGCGGGAGTCGGTGCTCGCCGTGGGGGGAGTGGGTCGCATTCCAGGAGGGCCACGAGAAAAAACACCAGTACCTTGATACTTGTATTCCATATATTCCAATTGAGGTTTCTTTGCAGCGCAGGTCGGTCTAGAGGTCTGGGGTGCAATATTCTGGCGCTCGGGACGGCCAGGGAAGGGTCTCGGGTCCCGAGGCTTTTCGCCGTCTCTGGCTTCCTTGGGCCCTCCACGGGCCCCGGCACTGTAAGACAACGATTCGGGCTGAGGCACTGGTCCCGGGGAAAGGCCCCAGGGTCCAGGACCCGTTTGCCTCCGGACCCCTTCGCACTTCCTCGCGCAGTCCCCCAAGGAGGAGAAGGAGGAGGAGGAGGAAAAGTAGGAGGAGGAGGAGGAAAAGTAGGAGGAGGAGGAGGATCAGGAGGAGGAGGAAGATCAGGAGGAGGAGGAGGAGGAGGAGAGCTCTCATTCGCGGCTTGAGCTTCAACCTCAGAGTCCCTCATGGGCAATAGCTTCAGGTCTGGCGTGCGCCCCCGGCACTACGGCGCTAGCTTCGGACTTGCTAGCTCAGTTGCGGCGCTAGCTTCGGACTTGCCAGCTGCTAGCTCAGCCGTAGTTGGCGCACTCGCTTTGGCCCAGGCATAGCTCGAAAGGGGAGGCCCAAGCATGCATACCTGTATCGCTAAGTGAGCATTTACATGTACGACTATATTCAGTTCCATTCTGGGTTTGAGAGACCTTTTCAGCCGAATCGTTGGTGTTTGCCGCAGTTTCTCGATGCCTCTAGATCGAGCTTTCGCTGTATATTAGGTTTTGGCCCGTGCAGCACTCAGACTTCCATATTGATTCGGCTGTGGCGTTGAACTTGGCGTGTGCATCTGTTCTGAACGACGCATTGCCTTATGTATCTATATATATATATATACACATACATATGTATGTATATATATATATATATACATACACAAGTTGCACGTGTGTCCCCAGACTCATACAAAAAACAACTGAAAGGGCGTTTGAAGCAGGACGATACCATGACTGCAGGATCGGAGATGGAGAAGGGGAAGCTGGGGCGGCGCCGCCAGGGCGTGCCTAAGAGAAGGGGAAGAGGCAGGAGGTGAACGCAGAACAATCTAAGATCGAGGTCGCGCTCGAGCGCAAGTGGGGTTGCCACACCTTGCGATGTGTGTACCAGGGCCCCCCAGGAAACCTCGGGAGGCCCGACTTGGATTCCGGAAGAGGCTCCAGGAGGCCCTGGGATTGTGAGTGTTGTGTATGTGTGTGATGTGTGCTCTGTGTTGTGCGTATGTTCTGTGCGTTGTAGGTGTTGTGTGTGTGTGTGTGTTATGTTTGTCTAGCGTGTGATGTGTTGGGTGTGATTTGTGTCTATGTGTGTGTGCATGCAGTTCTGAGGCCCCAGGAGACCCCAGGCGGCCTCGGGAGGCCCCAGAAGACCCCAGGAGGCTCCAGGAGTCCCCAAGAGGCTCCAAGAGGCCGCAGGGAGCCCCAGGAGGTTCCAGGAGACTCCCAGGAGGCTCCGAGGCGGGGTCTGGGGTACCAGAAGGTACAGAAAGCCCCAGGAGGCCCCAGGAGATTCCAGGAGGCTCCCAAGAGGCTCCGAGGCGGGGTCTGGGGTACCAGAAGGTACGTCGGGGCTCGATGTTGGGAGGATGTCTCAAGCGAAATCGCCATTCTCTGAGAATCGGGGTCAGAATCATTGAAATTACAATCTGTTTTTGAAGGTGTTATGTTAGAATGTTCAAATTCCCATGTGTTTTTTGACCCTGACGTCACGATCTGCGTGTGGGGTGCCACCGATTTTCAGAATTTCGAGGATGTCCCCAGCGAGACCGCCAGAAAAATCGTGGACGCGGCGCCCCGCGTACGCATTAATCGCCTCTGAGCCCTACTCCCTCGGAGAGGTGCGTGTGAGAATATACACGTATGCATACATAGCTACATGGCTGTGCTCAATAGCTGCCCAGCGGCCTTCGACCCGTTCCGCCACCGCGCCTGCGTTGCCTCTTGGACGCCGGTGGCGAACTCGGGGGAGGCCTAATTACCGGAGTCCTCTTGGAGGCGGTTTTGGGGGTGTCTTGGACTTGGAGGTTTCTTGGGGTCCGATTTGGGCCTCTCTGGGGCCTCCTGGGGCGTTTGGGTCATCTTGGGGGCCTGCTGGCGGTCTCTGGGGTCATCTTGGGGCGGAGAGCGCGACATGTCAGTTCGAGTTCCCCCTCTCGGGTTCCTCTTGGGTCACTCTGAGGGCATATTGGGCCCCTCCTGGGCCGTCTGGGACTCGCGGGCGCCTCTTGGGGTGATCTTGGGGGCCGCTTGGGCCGTCTTGGAGCGTCGGAAGCCCGGAACGGCGAGCACGTTGAACTCAGTGAAACCGTATGGAAAATCAATTATTTTGGTCTCTCGGAGCCCTCTTCGGGACCTTGCTGGAGCCCTCCTGAGGCTTCTTCAGGGTCTCGCGGTCGTTTGGAGATCGTCTTGGGCGTCTTGGAGCGGTCTTTCGGCGATTCGGGGTCCTCTTGGAACGTCTTGGGCGCTTCCTAGGGTCTCCTGGCCGCCTTGGGGCCCTCCTGGCTGAGAAAGTCATGCGCGAAGCCCCAGGAGGCACGCAGGAAGCCCCATCAGATCTGGGATCTCGGTGTCTGGCCACACCGATATGCGTTCGCACAGGACTGATGACGGCGAAGGGACTTGAGGACATTCCGACCGGTGCCTCAGAGCGCGATGGCGGATACAAGTTTGTGGTTTTGTTTCTTATTTGTATATATATATATACACATGCACAGACACACACACACCAGTATCTAGTTGCACTGCCGCACGTCTCCGCCACCGCGCGCTCGGGCGGCCAGCTGGAGGTGGAGGCCATCCACCCTCGGCCTCCTCCCGGTGAGGTCCTGGGGCGACGACTCCTATGGCAGCAAGCCCGCCGCGAAGTCCTGGGACTACGACAAGTCCGGCGGCTACGGTGGCAAG